CATTTCTGACAAAAGATATTGTTGGAATATTTAAAACCAGATTATTGAAGTAAGTTTATTGTATTGTTAGGAACTCGTGCCTTCTTCTCTTTACTCTCCTCCTCTAGAGGAACAGTGTTGTGAGTCTTGTGGTCTCCATCAGTGCAAAACACACACACATACGTCTGATCATCTCTACAGAACAGCTCCAGAGGTCTCTCGTGTTTCTGGCATATATAGTCCTTCATATTCTCCACAGGGTCCATCAGTTTGTGTTTCTTTAAATTCAAGACTCTCTGATGAGGCTCGTTTCACAGTAAGAGATCTGACACACCAGACAGGACTTCAGGGCTTTCAGCTTTCTTTCATCACAGATGTCACAGAGAACTTCAGATTTACTCAGACTGGACTTTTTCTGAAAGAGTTGCGCAACCTGTCTAAGTGCAGTGTTGATCTTGAGGTCGGGTCTTTTACTGAATGTTTCTTTACACAATGGACATTTGCAATCCTGACTGTTGTCCCAGCACTGGTTCAGGCAGCTCTTACAGAAGTTGTGTCCACATGGAGTGCTGACTGGATCAGTGAACACTTCCAGACACACAGAACACTGAAGCTCCTCAGCCAGAGGACCACTGGAGGATGATATAGCGGAAAAGAAGGGAAATAATGAAAATATATAAACTTTAGTTCATATCTGCACATATTAAACCAACCCCTCAGAGGACCTCAGATGATGCCAACCCTGAAACAACATACAGGACTACCAAATTTTGCTATAAGTTTGATTGCATCATATAATAATTGCTGTTAATAGTGTTCATCGTCTGTTTGATTACGTCTTTAATTGATTATGTCTTTAATAGATTTTTCCATACATTTCTGCCATATGTACATTAACTGACAGTCACCACTGATAAGCTACCACTAAATATTGTAGAAACTTAATTTGCTGTAAAGTTGTTTTGCAACGATTTGTATCGTGAAAAGCGCTATACAAATAAATTTGAATTGAATTGAATTAAATAATAATTCAATCGATTTAGATATCAATCTGATTTAGATAAAATAATGTTCTGCCGATAAAAGTAGTCCTAACAAACCAAAACAGATTTAAACGCTATATGTCTTCAAGCAAAACACAGTAGCATTTTTGACAAGAGATGTAGTGTTTTGAACGAATCAATTGACTAAACTATTCGCTCATTAAGGAAGCCACTTGTTAACATTCATTGGAATATCAATGCAACCTGCAGAAAGGGTCAGCGGCACTAATACTGCACATACTGTCTATGGAACGTGTGAACACAGACAATCAGATTGATACAAACGATTAAAAAGTCCCATTGCTTTTGGACTTTAAATCAGTGCCACTCTTCAACAAATCAGTAAAACTCTTTCTTGACATTGATGAAGAAACTAACAATAAAAGTTGTATTGTTATGTTTCGTTCATTCACTCTTTTTGTTATTAACTTAAATGGAGGTATGTTATCTATACTCTGTATCCTTGTTTGTCTCAGTTTTGCTGACGTTGGTAAAGATCCTGCTATTGCTTCTCTTTGCACCTTGTCAGAAAAACATCAAATGTGTCTTCCATACTGTTCTAAAGTTTCCCTAATCATGTCAGTGTAATAGTATTTTAAAGCTTTTCCATAAAAATGCCTAGAGAAGACTGCTAAAGATGAGATGAACATGAGATAAATGAGCATTAGATTATTCTTTATGCAAGAATATCTATTAGTTTACTGCCATGTTGATGCATTCATTTATTGATGTCTCCCTAATAAACACTAAAACCAGTCTACCTATAATCTTTGTTACTGTTTATTCTAAATTTACATATTAATGTCATAATGTTATTATAATTAAACGTGTTATTAAAACATACAGTGACTGTAAATGATCTAAATTGTTTTGGAAAAACAATTCAATTTTTCTAAAGGTCAGATCAGATGAGTTTATGGCCATATCATGGAATACATTATATGGAATTGTAATTTTCTTATCTAATACAAGAAGAACATTTGTCACTGTGTTCAGTATGTAGCCTATATTGACAGACACACACTAAACTATGTTTTTATTCATTTAGCCCATACCAACATATACATTTGCTAAAATTCTGAGAGCTTTTCAATGTACGCAACAAGACTAGTTGAGTAGTTAACTCGTGTTTTCCTGGTTTTGTCCACGTTATTCCACCCATAGGAAAGAAAAATCAAATGTGAGATCTCTTTAACATCTCAAATATTTCTCCTAGACAGAAATGAGGTTACTTTAAGATCGAATGGAGATTTTTGCTTGAGTCTCCTGCTTCCCAAACTTGTCTCCTGAGACAAAAACTCTAACAATCTCACAATGGTCTCCTTTAAAGCTTTAAAATAGATCTCAACAGCGTCACACACTGTGCTCAGATATTTCTCCTTAGCTAGAGACTCTGGATCTCTCACATTTGTCTCTTTTAAAGCTTTAGAATATATCTCAACAAAATCACACACTGTGCTCAGATTTTCTCCTTAGCTAAAGACTCTGGTGGTCTCATATTTGTCTCCTCCAAAATTTCAAACAAGATCTCAACAGCGTCACACACTGTGCTCAGATATTTCTCCTTAGCTTGAGACTCTGGATCTCTCACATCTGTCCCCTCAAAAGTTTAGATTAGAGATTTCAAGAACATCACACACTGTGCTTAGATTTTTCTCTTTAGCTAAATAATCTGGGGGTCTCATATTTGTGTTCTGTGAAGCTTTAGAAGAGATCTCAACAGCTTTACAAAGTGTGCATCAAGTCAAGTAGTTGAAAGGCACTAAATAAAGGGGGAAAATCATACATTCAGAGTTAAAGACTATATTGAGAGAGAAATTATGCAGAAATAAGGATAATGTTACTTTTTATAGGACAATGCTTATGTACTTAGGCACATAATTTGTTGATGGAAATAGTAATGTAGTGGATGCCTTAATCAAAACTGATCTATAGAAAATGTAACCCTGGAGCTTTCTTTGCTGAAAGGCACATAAATGGCTTATGACTCAGTCTTGATTATTAATTGACTAATTAGATTATTAATACATTATATGGAAGACATGTTTGAGCTCATATTGAGGCATTTGACTTGGTGCACACTTTGTAAAGTTATTGACATCACTTCTGACATTTAGAGGAGACAAACGTGAGAGCTCTCGAGTCTTTAGTGTAGGAGAAAAATCTGAGCACTGTGTAAAGTTGTTGAGATCTCTTCTAAGGCTTTAAAAGAGACAAATGTGAGAGATCCAGAGTCTCTAGCTAAGGAGAAATATCTGAGCACAGTGTGTGATGTTGCTGAGATCTCTTCTAAAGTTTTTGTCTCAGGAGACAAGTCTGAGAAGCAGGAGACTCAAGCAAAAGTTTCCATTCAATCTTAAGGTAACCTCATTTCTGTCTAGGAGAAATATTTGAGATGTTAAAGAGATCTCTTTTTTATTTGATTTTTCTTCCCTCTGGTTAGCTTCAATGTAATTTATCTACACCATTTCAATCAAAGACAATACATGCATTGTCATATTTGAAGTTGTTTTATGTAGACAGTGTTTTATTACACAGTGATTAAACAGAGGAAACTATAACCTATATTTACATACATGCAAAAATGGGCTGTACAAGACAAACTTTTAATATTAAACAAAGCAAAAAAACAAACAAACAACAACAAAAAAAAAAAACACTGGGACACTAGTGTTACATTTGTTAAAAAAGGTATTGCTCTTGTACTAAACATCTTGCACTTGTAAGTCCTTTCTAGTGTGTTTGGAAAATGTGGTGTATATATAATGCTGGACATTGAAGATAAATTTAAACATTTAAACTAGTAACCCTTGATATTCTGAAATCTTTAATGCTATTTAAATGATAGTTTTAGTATTTACAATATTAGTAAAAGTGTAACGTTTCTCCTAAAATAAAACTGAAGACATCTTAAGACAAAGCTGATATCTCAATGAGAGATATAAGAGAATCAGCCCTTAGTATCCTGAGCGTAGAGTAAGCTCTGTCCGAGCCATAGCTCATATAGCACATCGATGTGAAGCACAACTGCACCTCAGACAGCATGGGTTCGAATCCCAGCTAAAGATACTTTCATGCTCCTGTTCAGTTCTCACCTGTCCAATCGTCTCCTGACTCTACTCCTACTGTCCTGACCATTAAAGCTGAAAAACCCCATTGCAATAAAAAAGCAACAGCAATCTCTAAGCAGTAAAACATTTTTATAATGGAGTCTTGCAAGAGATTACAGCAAG